TAATGTAGCTACATGTTTCCATAATTCCCTGATTATCCCTTTTGATCCAAAAACAGCCTCTAGCATTTTGCTTTTAATCTACATTAAGTATAGAAATAAATAAAAGGAAAACACAGGTAGCAATCTTCACTCGAACCCCCCAGAGAGTATAATATACACTAATATTCATATGTGAAAGGCACAGTGAATGATACAGCATTAGTATCATTCATATTATAAAACGTAATGCCAGTTGCAAATTAAATTAAAAAATTAGAACGTAATAAATAAATCTAGGTTTCTAATTGGTAATAATGCTTTAAAAGTGTTACAAAAGAAAATAAGAAAAATAACAGGTTTGAAATTGGTGTAAGTTTTGAAATTAGCATTTTTGAAGTAAATTCAGTCTTGGCAGAGTTAACTTTTTTTTTTTCTCAGTCTCGTTGCTTTTATACAGATTTTTATCTTCTAGTTTGTTTTTTGTCAGGTTTCCAAAGACGATCAGATACTGTAACAAGGAGGCATTTCCCACATGCTGCTCACAGAATGGACTACATGGACTTCGAGGATGATAGCCGTGTATGGCGGTTTGATATGGACATGGTGATAATCTACATTTATTCAGTCAACTGGGTAATAGGATTTATTGTGTTCTGTTTTCTTTGTTATTTCTTTTTCCCTTTTAGTCTGTAATAGTCACAGCTGCGGAAAAAAGCAGTCATGTGAACCACAATAATGTGAATAAAAAAAGCTTGAAGAAGGCAAATGCTTGATATTACATTTTTATCATTCAGAATTGTAATAGACTGCATCAAGCATGCTGTGAGGCTATTTGATACTTGTGCTATGTGTGACAAAGTACTTGAGTTTGGTTCCAAGTATAATGTGAATTCTAGATTGTATTTCATTCAGTGAGAGTTTTGCCTCAATTTTGGAGGAAACAGGATTTACCCCTAATGTATAAAAGAATTACTCTGTAGAAATATGGAATACTGCTTGTTCTTAGGGGGATTCTGTCTACTACAAAAGAATATGATCCATAGACTCATTTTGGGGTTTGACTTTATGTTGGCACACTTTTCTCGCTCATTGGTGCTTCAATTCCTCATACGTCAAAGCAATAAATATGCTTCCCATTTATAGTCAGATCTTTAGGGAGCAGGGAATTATAAGCAGTGCTGGACCATGCATAAACAGACATTCATGACAGCTTTTTCAATAGTATAACCCAGATCCTGATTTTGACAATTGATAGACCTATCAGCATTCTACTGTGGAAATATGCTGTACTCAGTGCCTGAAATTTTGAGCCTGTTAACCAAAAAAGAAGTGATTCTGCACAGTGGGCTGACAGTTTATATTTCAGCAAATGGCAATCAGAAGGAATCAAACAACCCCAAGTCCTACACATTAAAGGGACCTTTTTTTATGCAGATTCCCAGGGTATCACTGCACCTTTTCTTACCCATCCAGATGAATGTGTATGGATCCAGCAAGACAGCTAATGGAGGACAAGCAGCAGGCCTCCTGGCTATGATGATGTGAGACACCAACCCAGTAAATATTGGAGAAAGAAGCATTCTCCAGTGTAAGAGATCAGTGCCATTATTGAATTGCTGTAACAATTTGGGGATACTCTCAAGTGTGGGCTCACCAGGACTATGCATCTCCAGGGAGGTCACATAAGAGGACACAGTATTTATTTGCACCTTTCATGTGAAACAATTCTAAAGCACTTTATAGTTACTCTATATATAGATTGCTGAGATACAGTACCAAACTGCAGCCAGTTCAGCAATCATTCTATACTTGCTGCTTTACACAGTATTTTCAAACGAAAGTGAAAGAGCGTCTATTAAATGATAAAAAGGACATTAGAAACTATTGTGGGAATAAGGTGCTAAAACATAGTACTAGAGGCTTACTTTTCAGGAAGGTACAAGGCCATTTTCATTTCTAAGGGCATGACCCTGCGAAGTATAATGTGGTTTCATCTTGAAAAGCATGTGAGTATATGTGTGTATCTGGTATGAGGATTTGTGTGGGAGACCTGTGGTTTTTCAGTAGGTGGTGTACTCCCCTGTTCTAGCAGAGAACAAGGAGAAATGTGTTGTGGAAGGTGCCATCTGCCAAATGTGATGGAATGAATTTGGGGATTTTATTAAGCATGTACTTACGCTTCTTTACTGGAGCAAGGCCAATATGGTCAATCTCTTATAGGCTATAAAGGGATTAGGACCAGAAACTTTTCACTTAACCTGAAAAACAGCAGTAAATCAGCTACTAATATTTAGTTTTACTACAGGCTGCGTAAAATAATCTCTTTGAGAATATATATATCAAATTAAAAATTACAAGTCTAACTATGGTAATTAAATAATTCTTGCCATCTTTTTAAATATGTGTGAACTTACAGATATATAACAATTGAAATTCACCATCACCACATAGTCATGTTTGTGACAGTAACGCATTTTCTGTAATTACAGTATTATCTACTTTGTCTCTATCTAAAGGTGATTGTCTCTATTACTGGTGGCATTAGGCATAACATTTTAAAAGCTTTAAGATTACATTAGAGCATTCGGTGATTTTCCCTCTTTATATTGATACAAACAAGTCTTTTAAAAGCTAGGGTTTTTAGGTCATAGGCTAATGTTTGCTTCATGCATATGTGTAGGTTTGTATGCTGAAATATTATCAATAATTATTAACACCTTTCTCATCTATGCCAGGACTGGGATTTTAACTGCAATTTTCATTTGTTTCTCTAATTTTATGAATTTAGTGCTCCTGTCTCATTAAAGAGAAGGACTGATTCACCTGTTAAGTTGAAATTGCTTCTACCTTTTGATATCAGAAAATGCTAAAATAAAAATGTCATGAAAAATTACTTTAATTTAGCTGACATAGTCTGAAATTCCAGTAACAATGTAATTTAAAATTATTTAACCAGGATATCTGATAAAACAGTAACCTTAAGTATTCTAAAATATATTGAGACATAAGAAACATAATACAGGTGCTAACTAATTAGATAAGAAAGAGTTACTCAAATAATTTTTAACAGCACGTTACCATGGTTTTATTCTGAAAAAGGCAACACAGGAGAGTAAGAAGTCCAATGTAACATCGGCCCCTTTTGTACAGGAAGAATTGATGACACGGTGGCTACATTTTCCTAAATTTAGTAGGTGTGACAATTTTGTATGGCATTTCTAACTGTGTAACTCTGCCTTTCTTCAAATCCTAAACAATAAACTGTTTCTTGGACTATATTGTTTTATTTTATATTGATTTTCGAGGAGACAATTAATTTTAAAAGATTACAAATGTACATAATGAAGACTTGCAACTCTGGGAGACAACCTCCATGGGGAAAAAAAGCGTAGAGTGGGTGGTACTTCTTTTTTTTCTTTATCGCTTTTTTGAGATACATACTTTTGTAAAAATACAGTAACAGTTTGAAGGCTTAAATCTGTTTTTTCTTGAAGTCTGTCTGTAATTTGCTGTCAGTATCTGTGGGATCAAGAGCAGATCCTTTGTAAGCAATTTTCTGGTTAAATTGATCCTGCTCTGATCTGCTTGTCTTTCTAATCTACAATAGTATTAAAATGTTTGCAACAAAATTTGAGTTGTTTGTAGTATTTTGCAGTCATTTCACTAGATTTTGTGTGGTGGAATTAAACTTTAATATTTTTTTCAATCAATGCCTTGTTTGTTATCCTGTGTATTCTTTACCTCCTTGGGGTGCAGCTAGGGTTTGCTGAATTTTTTACTACTGTGATTAACTCTTTTCATACTAGCAGCCTTTTGTTTGTTTCAGTACTTACCAGGGAACAGCTTCTGACAGATCATCTAAAGTCTGGGTTTTATACAGGTAAACATTTGAATTCAGATTTCCAAAAACACTTCCTGATTTTGGGTGCCTCAGTTTTTATTCCCAGCATGAAGCCTTCCTTCTAAAGGGGCCTGATGCAGAACTGAAAATCACGTTTCTCCAAAATAGTTCTTTAGGATTTCTTATGTTGGGAACCAAAGGCTGATCAAAGTTAAATACACCTACTTATGATGGACTTTAGCAGTGATCCAAATATGAGCAGAATCCTTAAGAACCATAATTGTAAGGATCTAAATGTAGTATTTAATTTAGGATATTTTGCTTTTAGCTTGATTATATTATTACACCGTGATTTCTTATTTTTAAAAAATACAGTGTTCCTACAAAAAGGCTGAAGTATGTGTATTTCATATTTTGGTTCCCTAAAATTTATAGGACAGACTTCATCTGTGATATGCACTGGAGAAAATGTGCTGAATAAACTGAAAAAATCTAATGTGAGGAATGTTTTGGGGCAAGTCAGCAGATTGACACTGTAGAACAAAAATCTCAGGGATCACTTCTCAAGGAAAAGCTCTCAGTGGGACAGAGTTAAGTACGAAACCAAGTGGCTTTATCTTGCCCTTTGAATGCTACACAGGACACTTTCTACTTACCTGGATACACAGCCTCCACTGGCACTTCAGCATCAGCTTTTATCCTCTACACCCAGGTGTCCCATACAAGTCACTGGAAGCTATCCAGAGGATCTGATGGCAGACATTGATTTTCCTTTTCTTCTTCATTAAAACGTTCCTGAATATTGCCAATTTTCTTCAGGTTTTTTTTTTTATTGAATTGTGACTGCTGAACTCTACCCAAGGGAGACAAGATGATGTGCTATTATTTTCCATTACTTTTTGGCCTTTGGGACTGCTCTTCGATTTCAGTCAGTTGATGTCCTGAGACATGTATGACATGCCACCCTGAAACTCTGAACAGGATTTTTTTTAATTACAAATATATCTGTTAGCACTTCTTTTAATATTGTAGCAACAGTCAGTATCCTGTGTGTGCTTAACTAAGTAGGTTTTGAGTTTGAAAGATACTCTAGACTCAGTACTACAGCGTATCCTAACCCAATAGTCCTCAGGCACTCATCAGCAATGCTGCCTTACATCAACCACATTATTAATGTCTGTTCTACTATATAAAATTTGGAAAGACTCCTTCAGCTTCATGTCCTCGATATCTCAGTACTAATTAACAAGTGAAATAAACTGTTCCCATGATTTCTAGTTTGATGTTATACAAGTGATGCGTATCACTATGATACTGTATTGGTGATGGCTTGTTTAGTTACAGTTTCGTTTTAGGATTAAAAAGCTGCAGCAACTATATTTGGGATTTTCACTAGATATAATTGATAATAATGTATTTCATTTTCCATCAAACATTTTCAACATTCAGTTGAAATATTTCTACATTTCCAGAAATGCATTAAAATGTAATCAGGCAGTCACTTAGAATATACTCCACATGTAATCTATTATCCTCAAACAAGACAATGAAACAGAAAAAATAAATGCAACCAATAAAAAGATCATGGTAAGTCATTTGATACTGATATAGCATTAAAAATTCATTTTTTAAAATCATTATTACTGTCATTTAAAAAAGTATTAAAATGCTGATTATGTAATGTACTCCAGTGTTTCTGAGCTGATCAATGAAATTCACACTGGGTAGAAGGGGAGTCTTATGTAGCCTTTCTGTATTATCTATATAAACTGAAAAATGCTAGATACTGACATAAAAATCTAGATGACCATCCTGTTCAATGAAAAGTGAAAAATGATACTTTAAAAGAATCCTGTGTAATCCAGATCTCCCTAACATAATCTACGGTTTGGGGGTATTAACTCTTCTTATAATTAGGTTGCTACCCAAGAAATATTGTTTAGACTTGCACTCAAAGTGTGAAAATAACTGAAATGCACAAAACCCTGTCCTAAATCCATGCAGATTATAAATCCTTGGGGACGTATATGAATTCAGAGCTCATTGCCAGTCATAGCATGGCATCAGATAGTGCCTGAAAGATAACACATTCCAATTAGAAACATATGAGGTAAGAATGTGTTTGCCTTGCAGATGGCTCTAGCTAGCTAATGTATGCATTTCAGCTGTCAGAAATTAAACTAGTTCTAAAATAATTTGAATTAGACTTCAGGGGAGGGAGAATATGCTGATTTTCTTTTATATCGTTCCAAGGAGAGAATGTTTGCAAAAAGTTAATGTACAGGCAATTTATAGACCTGTCTTGTTCCATCTTAAAGAACCGGACCCCTCTTTTTATCTTTTTAAAGAATTCTGAATTAAATGAACATAGGAGTTAATAATTAGCTGTATGGTTGTGGATTTTTCCTATATATATAGTGCAGTTTTATTTGAACAGCAATTACATGACCTACAAAATTATCTGATAGCTTTGTATTATACTCACCTAGGAGTTAAGGCTCCCAAACTCATTTTTATTTGTCATCTGGATTGTCACTTGAATTCTGAACTACAAAAAAAAAAAGACATAATGGCATTAAACTACCATGCTACACTGGTAGTTTTCTTTAATTCTGCTTAAGATGGGAATATAGTGTAATGATAGTAATAGCGTAAAATCAAGATACCCCTTCTTTGCCTAACTATTATTCCCAAAATGCCTTATTTCAACGTGATTTACAGGTCAAATTCTCATCATTTTTGATTTCTAAAACCTAGCTCTTCAGAACTTCCATTTTCCATGCAGATTCTAGTAGCAGCAATGCTCAATGTGCAAAGAACTTAGACCTTTTCAAGTGAAAGGCACTTTTACAGGAACAAGATGACATCTAAATGCAAGTACTGCAGGTTATCCAACAGATTAGTGCATGTTTTGGCAACAGTAACAAAATTATCATTATTACCATAATTTAAATCAAATGACAGCCAAATTGCACATGCATGTCTTGCATAGATGCTAACAATTATTCACTGATTTAAAGGGAAAAAAAAAAATAAAGCTAGTTTAGCATGTACTCTTTCACAGGAAGTTTAATATTTGAAGTTTTTCAGCATTTGTGTGTGACCCACTGATCAAAAGGAGATTTCTGGAACTAGCCTCCAAGTACTACTTAACTAGGTACCGTGAGCAGGAAAAGGAGAAAATGTCTAAACCTTTAAATAGTGCAGATAGCAAATAGGTTCAGGACACAAAATATAAAACAAATTGTAATTTATTAAACATTTATCTGAGCTTTTTTACGTACAGGAAAGATGAGTTTATTTAACCTCTAAGCTTTTTAACAAATGTAGTTAAACCAATCCACTAGTTATTGCACAAACCTGAGTCAAGATCATCAGTGATCAGCAATGTGATCACAGCAGTCATTCAACTTTTTTTGTACAAAAGAATGCTACTAAAGACTGTTGAACTCTCTCTGAAAAGCACTACAAGCATATTTCAGCATTATTTTGGAAAAACAACACAAATGCAATAGATGATGAGTGGAAAAAAAATATGTATTGAAATTACTGACATTTTAGACAGTAATAATGAAGGACTTGGAGGAGAAAATGTCAAGTTGTAGAAAAGAGAGTCTTCCAAACAGGTAAGGATGAAGTCCTGAGGCAGCAGTGAAAGTTGTCCACCAGCCTCTTGTTTATAACCTAGTGTTACGAACAAATCCATTCTCCCACTAGGCCTTTTTCTGTACCCACTGCAACAGCAATACTACCCCTGAAACTGCTGTGCTCTGCTCCCCTTGTAGTGCAGGAATCCTCCCACAGACTAGAGCCAGCATAGTTGGCTGTATGCACTACCACTTGGCATGAGAAGTCATACAGATGGCAGGGAGCATGGTCAGATGACACTGCAAACTGCCCATACACTGCTGGAACAGGCTCTTGGTGACTGTTAAAAATGTGAAAAATGAGTGACTGCACCTCTCCAAATACTTCTTCTGTATTCCCAGGAAGGAACTGTAATGTAGAATGAATTAGGCCTATATCATCCAAAGGTGCTGGAGACCTAAGACCCCTTAGAACAACAGTATCTGTTATGTATAACGATACATGTGTTTATCACTGATCATGGTAGTTTTTTTCTACAGATCAGTTACCAGAGTGCTTCCAGGAAAAGGGTTTAACATACCATCCTAGAACCAAAATTCTGCTTGTTGATAGCAACTGCCCTAAGTACTGGGTGATAATGTAGGCATATGCAAGGGCAACACCACTTTACTGTCAAGTGAAAGAAGGCTACTATATTACGGTTGGACTTAATGATCTTAAACATCTTATTCAACCTAAATGAGACTATGATTCTATCTGAACTTGCATACATTATTAAGTGCAGAAGATGGAGTTTCTACGTTTCTATTTCACAGAAACTGAACCTTCAAGTTACATGCTTTAGCTGGGGGTACATGGGTGAAGGGGGAAAGGGGCAAATGCTGGTCTTGGATACACCTTGTATGTTTTAGTTTTAGTTTTTCTCCCAGTCACTATATGACATTCTGAATCCCACTACCCTGCACTTAGCCTTTTCTAGATAGAGAGAATTCTATCTAAATCCTATTTTCAAATTTCAGTTCCCTTGGTAAATGTCTAACTTGAAAATTTGTTGAAGCAAATCCAGAGGAGGTTACAAAGGTGCTCAGAGGGCTGGAGATCCTCTCCTAGGAGCACAGGCTAAGAAATCTGGACTTGTTCAGCCTGAAGAGAAGACTCCTGGGAGACCTTAGAGCAGCTTCCAGTGCCTAAAGGGGGTCTACAAGAAATCTAGAGAGGGACCTCTTGAAAGGACATGTAGGGACAGGACAAGAGGGAAGGGCTTTAAACTGTGAGAGGGTAGCTTTAATTTATATATTAGGAAGAAATTCACTATGTGATGGTGGTGAGGGACTGGCACAAGTTGCCCAGGGGAGCTGTGACTGCCCCATCCCTGGCAGTGTTCAAGGCCAGGTTTTCCGGGGCTTGGAGCAACCTGGTCTGGTGGAAGGTGTCCCTGTCCGTGCCGGGAAGGTTGCAACTACGTGGTGCTTGAGGTCCCTTCCAACCAAAAATGTTCTATGATTCTATAATCTATGTTGTATTGGAATAAATGTTTTCCCTTTCTATGTTAATTTATACCATTTATCTAAGCATACACCTGCAATCGTTACTGTGACATGTTAAGTATTATTATGAGCGTGCTAGTTATTTTCATATTGGAAACCAGCAGTTTTCTCATTTACTTTTATATTGGTAAATATATTGCTGATTTAATATTATAAAAAATGTATACATACTACTACTTTCAAGAGTGCAGTCAATAATATTTAAGGAAGAATAGGAAAAATTCTTTAATAAAGCCATTAGCAGAAGTCAGTTACTAAATATCTGAACACCTGTTTCTCAAGTTCTTAAAAACCTTTTAAAAAAAATGTTTCTGTTGTCAGATAATGGATGAGTGCAAAAATATATACGTATCTTAAATAAATTTTATAATAATGAAACTTTTCAACTTTAATGAAAAGAAAATGCAAAATAACACAACGTAATTATGCTGAATGTTCATTAAGAACTTGCTGTTTGACCTTATCAGTTTATACGAGATGCAGTTTCTAGGTACTGTGTTAGGCTTGATGCTGTTTATCATATTCAGTCAGAGACAGAGCTGCTGCAGTCCTTGATGAAAGCCATGGGAACATGTGCAAAACCTCCTCTCTCACCATTCTGAGTTGTCATGAGTGTTCAATTTCTGGGAAATGTGACAAATCTTTCCTTCTGTGCCAGACACTGCGTTTACTGATGTTTTTTTACTGTGCTTTCTTCAAAGGCTTGTGGCAAATTAAAAAAAAATAAAGTAATATATAGATTTTTAAAAATAGAATAAAAATAAGTATATTAACTACTGAGCATTTAAACAAATATTGTCTGATTATATGGTAATTCTGATATATTTAATAAACTCTTTAAACCCCACGTTTTATTATAAACTCTAAGTTTGATAAGTATCCAACTTTCATTATGACTAAGACCATAATTGTGGAATTACTCTTTGTTCAAATTTTTTAACTGCTTATTACCATATCACTTCTTCAGGTTTATGCAGATGAGTTGAGGCTAAGCTAAGCTTCAATTTAACTGTTAATGGTTTTTGCTGGAGATTTCGTACATGCCAGGTACACACAGTACTGTTTTAAGTCTTTGCCCCCAAATCCACAGTTTGAAAGATCTTTGCAGTAGTTCTACGTCTGTTCCTTCGGAAATACCAGTGATACACCGTGCAGTGAACACACTAGAAATCGATGTGCATACCAAACCGAACACATAGGGTGCACATGAGCATGTAGTACCCAGGAGCTTTTCAGAGATTAAAAACTCCTGCTGAACTACAGGCTAAGAACAGTACTCTTACTGTGCAAACTGAATGTGATGATCTATTATTGCACCAAAAGAAAGTCATCAGTGAATTTAAATATTTTGAAAATCATGAAAAAGAGTATTTTTTTTTTATTTTCTACATGAGGAAGAAGATGATGTTGTTAAATATGATGTGGTGTTAAGGAGGGAGCCAATATGGGATTCAAAGAAGTAGAATAACATGTCTTGACCGTATGTATGTATCATGAAACCCATTAGAGAGCCCCAGCTCACTGTTCTCATGAGCCATTTAAAGTCATGTGGGAGCTTTATCAGCTTTCGAGAGGCAGTGAATAGGATGACTCTGCTGCACCAGAGATTCCTGCTGGAGCAAGATCAATAAGGAAAGGAAAGGAATACATTAATTAGACTGCTTTTATTACCCATCAGGAGATACTTGTGCTAGGAGTAGGTCCAACAGAAAAAAAGGTTACATTTTTTATTAGCTTTTCAAAGAAAAATTGATAATAAAGCAATTCATGCAGCTATATGGAGATTTAGAAGGGGAAGAGGAACTTCTGTCTCTTGCTGAACTTTGAGACTCTCATCAGAAATTAGATCATCACTGCATTATCTTGAACCCTCCATTGTGGAATGCTCATAGTGTTTCTAGGTTTTGTTCTGTGGCTTTGACCTGATTTCCTTCATACTTTCTCAAAGCCATCTACTCCCAACAGAATTTTTTTAAACCTTTACAAACATGGGATTATAAATCACTTAGGGTTTAGCTAATATTAATGCTTTGAAACAGGCCTTTTTTGTGCTTTCCAGCACCATTCGTAGGATCATGTAACCCTTTGTCTGGCTTATGTAATTTAGATCTATGCAAATGGTTTCAACTACCTTTGCTTTTCACACCATTCTTAGAATCGAAAGGATGTAAGGTACTTGTCCCAGAATGTCAGGTAGACTTCTCTGTAGTATTCTGGAAGAGATTAAAATGTTATTTCTTATTGCATCTACTATTAAATGACATCTCTGTCTCTTTGTACAGTTTAAAAACCATAGACCATATCCTTAATTTCCTGTCTGTAAAGGAATAAATATTCTAAATTAAAGCCATCATTGCAAGTTCACAAGTTGAAACATATGATACAAAAGAAATGCAGCATTATATTCACAGGTTTTCGGGTATAGAAAGCAAGATGCAAGGTAAGCCACTGTTAGACATGCCATAAACTGTTCATTTAAGTGACAAAGAATAATGCCTCACTTCTTGAGCATTTTATACGTCTTTGACTAGAAGAGCACAGCTTTCTGGACTATTAAAAGGATTTTACTCAGTGTCTTGAACTGCCTGCAAGTTCCATTTTTTTTTAGTGTTTTCTTCTGCATCTCAGACTTTTGACAGAGGCATAGTTTATTGGTATGAAAATAAAAGAGTATGTTTCAGCCTGTAAGGGTCATGAATAGATGGCAAAAGTCTCTTACGAAGACCTTTAAGTTAGTATTGCAGTGATCTAAAGACTTACTTAGATCACCATCCATCTATTCCCATAAGTAAATAGTGTTTAGAAGGAAACAGCTTTATTCAAACATCACTGAGAAGAAGTTTTCAAACATCATGGCTCTGAAGAAAAAAATCTTCAGAGGGATTTTTTCAGACCTGCCAAGTAAATCAGGATTTAAAATCACAGGATCATAGGATCATAGACCGGTTTGGGTTGGAAAGGGCATTAAGATAATTTGGTCCAACCCCACTGCCATGGGCAGGGATGCCTCACACTAGACCTTGTCATCCAGGACTCTGTCCAACCAGGCCTTGAACACCACCAGGGATGGAGCATTCACCACTTCCCTGGGCAACACATTCCAGTGCCTCACCACCCTTACAGGAAAGACTTTCCTCCTTATATCTAATCTAAACTTCCCCTGTTTAAATTTTAACCTATTACCACTTGTCCTATCCATGTATCCCACCTTAGTCTCAGCTATACCAAAGCTGAAAGGGATCTCCCGATAACCATATGGTGTTAGCTGCCTTTAAAGCATTTTGGTTTGCTTTTTTTTGTTTTGGTACAGAAGTTACTTTAAATCACACTTTTATATCTATGGAAAACCCATTACAAGAAAATGTCTGCCTGAAGGAAATAGATTTGTACAATCTTTACTCTCTCCAGATGTTTAAGAATGTTTATGAGATGTTTATGAGAGGCTCAGAAAGAAAAAGAGATGGATGGTGGCAGTGCCTGGATGTATCAGTAGACCTACATACTCCAAAAATAATTTTGACACAGACTCTACATCAGGGTAAAGAGAGAACTTTATCAGAAAGGCTTTTGTCCCTTGAAAGCATTATATGCTAAATCTAAAGCCTCTGTGTGTTAAATCCACTTCTCTACAAGAGAGTAGAATTTCAGAACTGGGTTTGACCTCTTTAGAGTCTTATCTACCCCCTTCATTTTCATGCCACTCTCTTCATGCCTGCAGGAGTGATTGCCCTAAAATGATCAGCTG